AGGTGCGGCCAGGAGAAAACTAGTTCGATGTGTGTATTTTTGAATAGCATCAGATCGATAGGTGGACTGGTGGTCTCTTATACTTCGGCGTCAGCTCAGCAGTCTAAAAAGCCACTTAGACAAAAATCCTTGATTAGATCCCCTGATGCTCATTACCCATCAAAGGCAGGTATAAGTCAACCACAGAGAGCCTGGGAGAAATGGGATGGCCGGGTACCGCAGGGGGCCAGAGATCTGGGGTGTGGAGTCAGATGACTGCCCACCGGTATCGAATTCGGTCTTTAAGTGTGACTTTGTTAGCCGTTAATGGATCAAGAGCATGAACTCCATGAAAGCAGGCAATGTGTGGGAGCATCAGAAGGCAGTGTAGTCAGTGTATGCATCAGTACAGAGGGACGCCGGATGGACAGATGGATTTTTCATGATCTAGATGTCTGTGCCATCCTCTCCTGGCTACTCTTCCCCGATCTACCTGGGCCCCAGAGCCTTAAGCATCTCTGTTGTCTCCCACGCCCCCCTCCCCATCATCCCATCCCTGTGTTCATCCCCTCTGTCCTGGCCTTTGCTCAGGCTCTCTTACCATATTTGGCCATTGGTCTGACCGTTGTCCCCTAACTGGTCTCCCTGTTCCAGTCTTTCTCTTTTTTGAAGGCTTTTCCTGCCACCACACTTGTCTTTTGAAACCATGGCTCTGGGCATATTACTCCCTTGCACAAACACGTCTGAATGTTCCCCATTGCCTGCAGAAAAAATAAAGTAGGTTTCTGACCGGCACCTGGGGGCTTTTTACCATCTACCTGCCTCTGCTCACATCGGTCTCCCCTCCTCCTCTCCAGTCATACTGGGCGGCTCGCCCAATGCCTTCATCAGATTTCTTCAGCTAAGTCTCAGTATCCTCATCTGTAAAATGGGTATGATATTAGATGAGGTTTAAGGATTCATTGGAATATCAAAATAATAAGGTGAGCCCAGTTTCAGGCACACAGTAAGGAGTTAATAAAAAAATTTTTCTTCGTTAATAAACTTGCCCCATGATTTGACCCTTTACTCACACTGTTCTTATGCCTTCCTGCTCTCCCCTCTGTTAATGTTACTGTCACCTGGGGCACCTGGGTGGCTCGGTTGGTTAAGCATCTAACTTCGGGTCAGGTCATGATCTCGTAGCTCGTGAGTTCAAGCCCCGCTGCTGTCCGTGCAGAGCCTGCTGTGGATTCTCTGTTCCCCTCTCTCTCTGCCCCTCCTCCCCCTCTCTCAAACATAAATAAATGTTAAAAAAATAAAGTTACTTTCATCTTTAGGATGCACAGCTGTGACAGTTTTTGTGAAGCCATCCTGAACCTTTCACTTGCTGGGCTCTCTTTGTGTGCTCATTTTGGTTTTACACCTCAATTCTGGCACTTACCCGAAGGCCTGCCGTGTACTATGGCTGTGTTGTGCTTGTCTACCTATTGGAGGCAGTGTCCTGCCGAGGGTGGACCATGGCCGTTCGCATCCTGGGTTGGAGGTGATTTGGGGGCTGGGGAGGTAAGGTCAACTGCAAGAGCGTGACTTCTTAAAGGTATTATTTCTGGCATGTTTTTAAGGAATTGAGAATGGGTGTTGCAATGCTGCAGTGCAATTCTGACATCAGTCACCCGGAATTAGTGTTGAGTCCATAAGTTAAGGGTGCGGTCCCCAACGAGACAGATGGCAGCTGCAAGTTCAGAAGTCCCGAGGCCACCCACACTTCTGAAAACAAATACAAGGGTCCCTGTAATGAGCTAATTAGCTAAAATGACTGAGAGAACTCAGAAAGGGGCTGTACTTAAGATTATGGTTTTATGATTGTAAAAGATACTAATCAGGACCAGCCAAATGAGCGCACACATAGGGCGAGGGTGGGGAGGGTCCTGGACACGTTTTCTTGCCCTTGCCCTGTGGAATCAGGACGTGTCTCCCTGCGGGTGCGGTGATGTGTTAACCGATTGAGAATCTCCACTGAGCTCGGTGTGCAGAGTTTTTACTGAGGTTTAATTCCACACGTGTGATGACTTATTGACCACGTGTGATTATTCAACCTCTTGTCCCCCTCCCCTCCCTGGAGGAGGTCCACTGATATTGCCCGACTCAAAGGCCCAACCCTCTAATCACGTGGTTTCTGGAGTGGCCAGTCCCATCTGAAGCCATCTTGTTAGCATAACTCAGGTATGGATCAAGACTGACGAATAACAAAGACATTTCCAATTACTTGGGAAATTACAACTATTTAGAGTACGTCCCAGGAAGCGGGGACAAATGCAGGTCAGATTTTTTATGATACAACAGGCGTGCTTCTCACTGTCCTTATCAGATAAGCTGTTTGAACAGTTGATACGGTGTTGTTCTTTCACATCATGAACCTTCCGGTCTCATTATGACAAGAATGATGATCTAGAACCCACCATATCTACTTAATCAATCAACAGATGTTGGGTAAGATTTGTAAACTGTCGGGGTGCCTGGGTGGCTCAGTCGGTTAAGCGTTCAACTTCCCTCAGGTTGTGATCTCATGGTTCGTGGGTTTGAGTCCCTCGTTGGGAGTGCTGACAGCTTAGAGCCTGGAGGCTGCTTGGGATTCTCTGTCTCCCTCTCTCTCTGCCCTTACCCCGCTGGCGTTCTGTCTCTCTTTCTTTCTAAAAAATAAACAAACATTAAAGAAAATATTTGTAGGGTCGCCTGGGTGGCTCAGCCGGTTAAACGTCCGACTTCGGCTCAGGTCATGATCTCACGGCTCGTGAGTTCGAGCCCCGCATCGGGCTCTGTGCTGACAGCTTGGAGCTTGGAGCCTGCTTCGGATTCTGTGTCTCCCTCTCTCTCTGCCCTTCCCCCACTTGTGTGTGCTCTCTCTCTCTGTCTCTGTCTTTCTCTCTCAAAAATAAACATTACAAACAACAACAAAAAAGATTTGTAAACTGTTTGCTGAATGCACCCAGGAGGTGGGCAAGAGGACCTATTTGTGGAAGGAATCTTGATAGAATTCTCTAGATTTGTTCTTCATGAAAAAGCAAGTCTTTCCTACTAGCTAACTAGCTTTTTTGAGAGCAGGAATTGTCCCAATTGCCTTAGTATACTCCAGCATCTACTGTGTGCTCAGTAAATGTCCCCTCGATAGAGCACATCGCCCAGCTAGCTCTGTCGGGACTGGTTGAGTCCCTCTGGCTGTCTGAGCAATTCAGCTCAACGGCAGGCCTCTCTGGCTGACAGAGCTGACTTGACAGGAGAGGATAAATTTCTTTCCATGAAGATCTTTGTGGCGATCCCAGCTGGACCCGGCTGTGCTTAGACTGATAACGCACATGGATGGTAGCTACCGCTGGAGAGTTTAGGCAAAATATTGAAATTTATTGCTAGATTATTGGTCACTAATATGCAACTGAACAAAAGAAGACAGGAATAACATCTACGTAGGTATAACAATCACTTTGTTATAACTCCGTTTTTGAAAGTCTTAGAAATGAACTCTGGGGCTCCCGGGTGGCTCAGTCGGTTAAGCAAGCATATGACCCTTGATTTCAGCTCATGTCTGTGAGTTCGAGCTCTGCATCGGGCTCTGACAGCTGGAGCCTGCTTGGGATTCTCTCTCGCTCCCTCTCTCTCTCTGCCTCTCCCCCAGGTGCTCTCTTTCTCTCGCTTTCTCAGAAATAAATATTAAAAAAAAAGAGACGTGAACCCTGTGTTTAGATATTAGGCAATGTGCATATTTATTTGCATATCTATATATTTTTTCCTGGAAATAACAATGACTTATTTATTTGTGGAAACAAAACGTGATCAGGGATTAATGCATTAATCCCTGATAAATGACGAGCCTTTACATTCTCTTATGGAAGAATTTATTTTTCTTTGGTGAATTTTTTCAATGCTCTGTCTCTTCTCTCGGATTTCCAGAACTTCAAAGGCAACTTATCAAGATCTGTGTTCTTCCCCCGTCCCTGTCCCCCATGCCAGCTCTCTCTCTCTCTCTCTCTCTCTCTGTTTAAAGTATTTTCTGTTGCCACTGACGTAGTTCTCTGATTTTCTTAACATTAAGTGCAATTCTATTTAAAAATTTCTAGATGCTTAAGGCACATAATAATTAAGGGTTATTCCTGTCAGGAATAGAAACACCATATTACAACAGTTCTTCCTCAGAGGCTGCTAAAGAAGGAAAATCCTGTTTAGAGGGTTTGCCTCTGTGGGTTTTTTTTTTTTTTTTTTTTTTTTAAATGGCAGTTATGTAATGTCAGGCTTAATTGGCCAGGAGTCAGGAGGCTGGTTTATTTGTGCGTCTCTTGGGTCGTATGTACCTGAGGGGCGAGTGGTCAGTGAATGCACCTGTAAATTGTACCTGGGGGCTATTTCCCAAGAAGCGTCCTGTGTAACGACGGTGTCACAGATGTTGAAAGACAAGCATATTGGTTTTTCTTTATACGCTGATGGGTATATAACAGACTCTGAATGCACATGCGTGGATTGACTGTAAAAGTACATTTATTCCGAATGGGAGCAGCCCTTCATTTGACAGGAAGCCTCCTTCCTGGCATCCTTCTCTGGTGGGTTAGCAGAGATTGCTACTCGGGATTTAAAAATTAATTCCCCAGCAGGAGAAAACAGGTGGGAACATAAAAGAAGCACTTGAATGGAGGAAGCGTCAAGCAATTCTCCAAAGGGACAGAGCAGAGGAGCGTTGATGACCTCATCCATCTGTACCAACGCAGAGACCCTCAAGGAGGTTCATGAGATCTGGCAGGGTCACCAGTGTGTGTGTGTGTGTGTGGGGGGGGGGCGGG